TATGATAAGAAGAAGACTATCGGGTTGTTCACTTGGAAGTGAACTCGTTACTTGTATCAAAGATGTCAAACTAATATGATAATATTGATAACTAAGTTGAGCACGAAGCTCCTATCTAATGGCAGACGTGCCAGTCTTATATAGAACCTTCGTTCTCTCGATGTTCGCTCGTTCGACAATCGAACTGGCTAACTTCGCCTGTTCGCCCGGCTAACTGGCGAACTCCTAATATCACGTGATAACAATACAGAGAAATCCCTGGATCGCTTAGCTACTCCAAACGATCCCTATTTGCTATAAGAATCCTGGATGTGCCTGTCGAGGGTTGCGCCTCTTATTATGACAAGTATCACGTGAGCACGTGATTCGTGACAAATATATCTTTTATTATAACTTATATATTAAGGACCTTAATTACCTAAAGAATTATATATAACAACCGTATAGAAAAGGTTACTATAAATAAGAGTAAAGCTTTAAAAAGTTTCTTAACTATTTATATTTTTAGCTACTCTTTTATCTAATAGGGTAATTAGTAGCTAGTAATAAACGATTCATATAGTAAATACTACTAAACGCTTCTAACCGAGCTAGAGCTTCGAAGACTCTACTAAAGATTCGGCTACCCTTCTATCTATAAACTATACGATATACTCTAGAGAGCTAGCTACGCTAACTTTACCTATAAAGTAATTAAGGCTCTTAATAAGTACTATAATAAGTACTAGATATACTAAAAGTCGCTAGGACGATTTAAATTTATAATCTATAACGATTATAAGTTTAACTTTAACGTTTACTTGGATATCTTTTATATTAAAAGTAAGCTAGTAGGCTATTTAGTTAATAAGGCTACTAATTATTAAGCTAGCGATTAGCTTACAAATATTAAGGCTAAAACCGTCTAGGAGCTTATACTAAGAGAGTAGATTTATATATACCTAGGACCGCTAGATATAATTACTATATACTAGGGTAAATAACTTACTAGTAGAGAATTTTGAATATACGCTAAAACAATAGACGTAACTATTAACATAGTCCCTATAGAAGCCTATAATTCGATTAGACGAGTAGAATAATACTACAAACCTATACGCTAAGCTTTTAATATTATATTAAATAAAGCTCTTATAATTAATAAGCGTATAAGGCTTAAGATAGCGTTTAAGGCCGTAAATAATATAGCTAGACCTATGTCACGAATCACGTGCTCACGTGATACTTGTCATAATAAGAGGCGCAACCCTCGACAGGCATACCCAGGTTTCTTATAGCAAATAGGGATCGCTTAGGGTAGCTAAGCGATCCAGGGATTTCCATTGGTTATGGTCACATGATTAAGTTGGATCGCTGGATCGCTCGGCGACCTAGCGAAACGGACCGCCAGCTCGACAGGCGAGTTGGCTACCCAGATCATAGTACTTGAGGATGAAGGTTCTATATAAGACTGGCACGTCTGCCATTAGATAGGAGCTTCGTGCTCAACTTAGTTATCAATCTTATCATATTAGTTTGACATCTTTGATACAAGTAACGAGTTCACTTCCAAGTGAACAACCCAATAGTCTTCTTCTTATCATAGCATACCAATAATCTAATCCTGATGCACTAGAGTCATACCTTTAACTGTACAGGTAATCGGACAAAATTGAGCCCAGCTGCCTCTAAGAGGCGATGCTGTAAAATCAAGTCGAAATTTGAGGCTATTCTCGAAGTCCTGTGCGTACATTCTAAAGCTTTAAGTGCAGTCTCAAGATTTGGGAAAGATCGAGGTTCAAATATATCTTCTCTGGATTTCGTAGCCTCTTTATGAGGGGTGTAAGTCCGCCCAAGTTTATCCATTATTATAGTAAGAGGCTATGTATCAAACACTGGCATTGCTATATCGCCGATCCGTGAAGAAACATGTAGCACGAAGTAGAATCAGAGCTCGGTGACTTGACGTTACACTCGAACGTGACGGGCGGGATCCGGAGGAAATGCACTCGGAACCTCCCCTTTGCCCGGAGAATAAAACAATGACCATAGCTCCATAGCTACCTTGTCAAGAGAGACCTTAGAGTTGCTCTAACTTTGACCTCTCGATCTAAGTCCTTTGAGTAACAGTGGAGCAGCTAAAGAATCTTCGTCGCTTCGACACCGTGACCCAATTGGGAGTTCGGTGAAGGATTCGTCAATAGGGAAGGGTGGGATCCCGTTTCTCTATAATCGAAACATTATGACTTAGAAGCATAGAGATTTCAAGAACTAGCGTGACAGCTCAGGAGTAGCTTGATCGATCGACGCCAATACAAGGCTCGGCACTCGTTTAGCGAACGAGTCACTCATTCCATTTCAGAATTCTGAGCGTACAAAATGCGCTGACTCTCAATTCTCCTCTCGCCAAAGGTTCCTTTCGCTTCACTGAAAAGAAATTGCAAGTTCTTCTGTAAAGAGCGAGGGATATCTATTAAGCTACCTGAGAGCTCCGTCCCCCATAGCTCTACCAACTTCCTCTATTCAGTAACCACACGAATATGCCACGACCTTCTCATGAGGAACATCCTATTCCCAACCGAACTCCCACAAAAAAGGATGTGGAGCACCAACCCATCAAAGAAGGTTCATCTCAACGCAAAATAGAGAAGATTGCCGAGAAGAAATGCTACGGGCAAGGAAACAGATCGTGCATCGTGTTTTAGCATGTATCGTTCACGACTCAGTGCTCGAGGGAGATTTACTCTCATAAGGGATACCAAACGAACTATCTTGTGTTGTCAGCTAATCTGACCCGTGGTTTCCACCGCATAGGACCTGCATGATTAGGAATGGAACACCAAGGTGGGGCAAATGCGAAGACCTCATAAGCCAGGCTCCCGCCCATAGTAGTTAGCTGCCCACTTATCTGAATGCAACTCTTCTGGCACCCTGGCCTTCCATATTCCTAGCAACATCTTACATTTCGACTTTCGAAATCGACGCAGAAAACAGCGAAAGAGGTGCGTAGGGAACAAACAGTCGTATCAGTCTAAAAACCTTTAAAATACTTGGATATCAGCAACTAATTCTCCATCAAACTCTACCAATCTTACTGACTTGCTGATTGATCATTTGAATCGGGCCAATTGAGATAGATGGTCAAAGTTTGAGATGGGCTAACACATAGTTAATAAAAAGGAAAGGCTATTACTAAGATTATATGGAATTGTATCGCCGGTCTAGGGAGGCCCTTCCCACTGGCCAATTTATAGAGAAGAGGGATATTCGTTGCAAAGACAGAGCTCCTAGATAGGACTAGCTGCACTCTATACACGGAATTTAATTAGTCATAGACTAGGAGGTATTTTTGCTGTACTTCTTGCATTGTGTCAAGATCCCTTGACCCAACCATTAAAGTTTTCTTGAATGTATTTCATTAGCACTTGCAGCCCAATCGAGGCCAAGAGAAGAACTTGCTATTCACAAACTCTTCACACACTCAATGATCTGTACAAAAGCATTTCATACAGGCGATACCAGAACGCCATCCCTTAATTTTCTTTCCCATAACAAGCACCCATGTGATACAATGCGACCCTTCATCACCTCTTTCCGCCGGCTCTTCTCGCCTTCCCTGGTCGTTTCGCGGCTCCTCCCTTCATCTTCTTGCTTGAAAATCCCTTCAAATCGCCACTGCTCATTGCATCACCACTCTTCTTGAACCTCTTCTTTCCACCGTGTCCGTATTTGTCGTCCTTCTTCTGGCGCTTATTGGGCCCTTCTCGGTTTTTGCGGGAGTTGGATTTTGAAGTCTCGTCTTCGAGAGCGACATCAAAGAGATCCACCTCATTGGTCGCAACGTTGTCTGCACCTTGACGCTCTGTGGGAATACAATTAGTTTCGCGATGCTAGAGATGATAAAATGTAAAGAAAACTCACTTCTCTTCAAATCCTTGATTTTATCCAAAGTCGTTTTGCGTTCTTTATCCCGCTCTTGCTGTTTCGCAACTTGTACCTGCTTTCCGAATTTCTTCAGATCTCTCTGTTTTCTAGCTTCCGCGCTAGCCTTCTTGCCTGCTGCCTCCTCGATGAGCTTCGCTTTGATCTTTGCCATGTGTTCATCTGCCTTGACCATCTCTGCAAAGTAATCCTTCGGTCTTGTAAATGGCACACCCTCATTCTTGAGTAGTTTTCGTGCCTGCTGAGCAGCAGAAAGGGATTGCGCATAGAATGCTAACTCGCGCTTCAAATCATCGGATACATCCTCGATTGCGACTGGCTCGGAAGTAGTAATTGACTGATGTTCGGCGAAGCTCATTTTAGCCACAGGTAGCGCGATTCGTTTTAAGGCTGCTGTGAGGGCCACGGTATTGTTTATGGTAAGGCGCTGATGGGGGATTATATCTTCTTTTTCGTCATCGGAAAGGTCTTCGAGGTCGGACACTGGAATGTCTTCGTCATCTTCATCTTCTGAATCCGAGTTATCTTGATCATTCTCCCCAGCAGAAGAATCGCTATCGCTTTCATCGATGCCTGCAAAATCAATCTGCGGGGTTGTTAGCGGTCTTACTGAGCGACTTCCGAATTTCAACATACCTGCATTGTCGCAGCATCCTCCTCCTCATCGCTTCCTGCCTCGTCTCCAGCGATATCTTTCTCCGGGTCATCATCGTCCTTCTCTTCATCGACCTCGTCAACATCCTCCCATTCCTCGTCCGTCTTTTTCGCAGACTTCTCCCCGCCCTTCTTCGACTTTTTGCGCGTAAGCTTCTCTTTCTTTTTCAAATTGAGTTGCTTGTAGTCGGTGCCCTTCTCATGGGCAAGGGCCATCTTGAGCTTGCTTTTGGTAACCATTGTTGCGGGTTTGATGGATTGGCGCAAAAACGGTGTCTTGGTGAGGTAGGAAAAGAGCTCGAAAATAATTTTGAGCTGGGATCTTTTTGGCCGGATAAGATTAGCTCCCGCTTTCCTTAAATCCAACGGATTGGCACTGGCCGATATATTGCCGAACGCAATGCCGACTTGTTGCCAAAGCCAATACGCACCAGGGGGTGTCAGAATTCTGGACGCAGTCCCGTATTTCAGCCGAAAACCCACTAAAAACTACGATTTCACAACCTCCGAGTAAACAACCCGGCGCATCTGTACTTCTTACCCGCATACCAACCGTCGAAACGATTACCTTTGTCAGATAGTTTGAGTTTCGTCACACTTAGCCCTAGGGTAATAATTACTACTATAAATAATTAAGAAATTCTTAATTAACTATACCTAAACCATTATAAAACAAAATAGCTTTTACTAGGGAAGTATAATATAATATTCAAGGAACGGTTATCTTAATACTTATATTTTTTTAATTGTTATATAATAGTTATATAATAGTTATAAAAACCCCGGGCTCTCCTTTAAGGTAGATTAAGTATATAAGTAAAAGTCTTTTATTAAACTTAATATTTTAAGAGATATTCTAGTAAGAAGTTTCCCCTTAGTAAATTCCCTAGTAAATTTATTAGTTTTATGGTATAATAGAATAGTATCTTATAGTAAAATTCTAAAGTATATGTCACGAATCACGTGCTCACGTGATACTTGTCATAATAAGAGGCGCAACCCTCGACAGGCACATCCAGGTTTCTTATAGCAAATAGGGATCGTTTGGAGTAGCTAAGCGATCCAGGGATTTCTCTGTATTGTTATCACGTGATATATGTCGCTAGACGGGGCGACTGGTCTACCAGTCTAGCAGCGACCGAGCGACGAGTCTAGCAAGCTAGCACAAGAGAACGAAGGTTCTATATAAGACTGGCACGTCTGCCATTAGATAGGAGCTTCGTGCTCAACTTAGTTATCAATCTTATCATATTAGTTTGACATCTTTGATACAAGTAACGAGTTCACTTCCAAGTGAACAACCCGATAGTCTTCTTCTTATCATAGCATACCAACCAGCGAACACCCAGCCAAGTTTAGTTAGCCAGTTTGAGTATTCGTTACAGCCTACTACTAAAAGCCTTTATAAAGAGGGTCTATGTCACGGATGCCAACAAAGGATAAAGTGTATACAGCTTTTGAATCAATTGCTAGAACTAAAACCGTAGGTACGAAGAAATCAAACTAAAGAGAGAAGAGAATCTGAAAGGAGCGAAGTTATTTAAGTTGTTCCAATGCCAAGTCTCGTCACGTGCTTGGCCAAGCGAATGAAATCCTGTCAAATGAAATCCAGCTCCGTCACAATAATAATATAAAAAACCGATTCTAAATAGTACAAAGCAAAGACAGCTACCTATAAGGAGAAACTCTCTAGGATCGAGGCGTATATATAGTAAGCGCAGGCTCTCCTTGTACTAGGACTATATACTAGGCTCGGATTGATAGCTTTTCTAGGAGGTACGGTAATCCTACTTTAGACCTCTGAGATATCTAGGGAGCAAGAAGGCTATAACTATAAATAGACGTCTCTATATTAGACTATTAGGACTAGGAAAGAGTATGGATTCCAAAAAAAGAAAAAGAGCCTCTAGAGGGTAGTAGGCCGGTATAAAGTATATAGAAATAGACAATTAATTATTCTAAACATTTAAAAAGACTAAAAAAAATTCTAAAAAAAAAGTTCCTATAAAATCGCCTACTAAATCGGGAGTAACTGGAGCAGTTGACGGGAGTAGATAGATATCTGCACCCGTCCACTGTTCCAGTGGATCCGTGCTCCCACAGGAGGAGAGGAAGAAACAGAAACCCGGGATATTATTCATACAATAGCAAACACCCTCTACAACCACTCCAGGAAGGCGGAACCAACTAGGAAGACATCCTTTCATACACCATCCTTGCCTGTTATCAAGCAATCGCTCGTCCTAAGCTAATACCTAATCCTACGTTGTCATTATGTAGCGAGCTATTCAATGTAACTTATTTAAGTCCGCATCTACACTGACAACCACCTTCGAGAACCCTTAATACTTAGTTCCCCTTCCAAGGCATTACTAAACTCCCTTTAGGCTTTAACGCTACCCCGACCCCTACCTTCCTCGACATCCATTATAATCAATGTTCACGTGTGTTTCAGAGACAATTAGAGGATGTATCGAAGTCTGGCTCCTATTTCCCACAAAAAGCTCGAATCTTTTATTCTTTACTGTAGCTATTGACTCTTTTCTACCCAAAATCGTTTAGGGTAATTCTTACTATCTTATGCCGCTTCTCCCTTTCAATCTTGAAATCTATCACCAAACCTGCAACACATTCCCCTGCCTCGACCGCCTCGACCGCCCAGGCTGTGCTGAACTTCGAGGTGGAATTTTCCCTATGACCTCTAGTTCGTAGCTCGAATTCCCTACTAGGGCCCTACACGCCTTCTTTACTACATCGAGGGGTTGCCTGTTTAGAATCAACTAGGACAACGCCGAGTCTTTTGACGCAATGGTCGACCTATTACGATTCCACTTGATTACTTGTATGGCTCTCACTAAAAGGTAAGCGAGCGTGTCCAAGGTATTGAATCCCTCTATGAGAGAGAATGGAGAGCTCTATCTTGCCTGACCGACTGGTTCCCCGATGATAATGGTATTCTGAGCCTCCTTGGGCCTTGAGGGAGGTCATGGAGTCCTCATTTAAGGTTTTTAGCTAGTGCATTGGTTTATACATGTATGAATGATATATCCATAGAGATCATGTAATCGATTTCATAAGAGCGACTCCATATTACAAGTTCGTTCTTCGAGACTGATTACGTGATCTCATAGCAGCCGAATATCTTGCACTCAGCTTTGTGTCTGGCACTTTCTTGTCTTTCGAGATGGTTTACCAAGTACAAATCGGGATATTCACACCTCAATGCACGCTGCAAGAAGAGCCTTATACATAACCCCCACCTTATGCCACTGTATTACCAAAGAGCCACATTATGTGAATGGAATACTTTGAAGGGTTCAAATGACAGATTGATTGTAATCTGAGTTTAGTTAGAGGCTTTAGAACAATCGTCGAAGGAAAAGTGCCCAACACTATAAATATGGAACTTGGTATCCCATGGTACGTTTCAAAAAAAAAAAAGATTAGTTTATAGGACTATTATATAATTAATCTCTGAGACTAGAGACGCCGTGAGATCTCATCTCATTCTGTTCCTGGGAGGATTTCTTTGTCTGTTATTACTCCTTCTGATCTTCTGGATCATTGCAAATAGCTCAAACAGGTACTCTTTCAGCTCATCTCAGGAATTATCACCTTCCACTCTATTACGTCGGATCAGGGCTTGCCAGGAAGAGTTTCCTTCTTCTCATACTCAGGCGGTGAATCCTGTGGTATCACGAAATTAAATCCAGCCGTCCCGCTGTCTCCAATCGCAACAGACAATCTCTTCTCCGATAGAGGCGGCAGTGGGCTAACAGGCACGGGACCAAACTCGCCCTTCCCATCAGCATAATATCCAGGTTCTTTGATCCACAATACAGGAGAGAGACTATTGTCGAATTTACCATTAGCAATACCAATATTAATCGCATTCAGAGTGCTTGGGTTTGAACCCATATTACTGCCGCCGTGACCACGTGACCAGAAGGGATCTGCTGATGCGCCACTCTTTTGCGACATTGAGCGTGCGATTCCGGTTGGGAGGGTACTTTTGAAGTTACTGAGGAGATGGGATGCTGGAGGAGAGTCTGCCTCGGCTTGGGCGGCGAGACGACGTTTACGGAAGATGCGACGGTTGAGGAAGAAGATTAGGATTGCAAGAGCAGCGACACCGGCTGTGAAATGTGAGTTAGCGAATTTCGAATCTGGGGTATGGTCTGCGTTTGGACTTACAAACAGTGCCAATCACCATACTGGCGATTCCAACCGGTGTTTTCATGGGTGAAATGGTTTGAGTAAACCCAGCATCTCCGATAACAGCAGTTGGGGCTGCGCTGTTTCCTGGATGGAAGGCACTACCACTTACTACAACACCTTCATCAAGACCTGTTCCTAGAGCTGCTGCTGCAGCAGCAGGAATTTCCAAAGTTGGTACTGCGCCGGTGGTGCGGGAAGGATCTGTAATGGGAGTTGGTGTTGGAGATCCGATGCTCGTCTTAAATCCAGTGGGGGCTGAAGTTGCATCAGAGGGACTAGGACCAGAAGATGGAGGCAAACTGGTAGGGGCGGATGGATCTAAAGACTCGAGAGCTTTCGTAGGAGTGTTTGGTGTATTGGGGACAGGTGTTACTTTGTTTGGTGGAGCTGATTTACTAGGATCTGCTGAAGGTTTACCATTGGATGGTTCCTTTGAAGGCTGTGATCCTCCTGTAGGTTTTGGTGCGTTTGTTTCCTGAGGAGGAGGAGTAGATGAAGCATCGTCGCTCTTGGTAGCTGGAGGGGCATTTGCAGGCGGGGTCGATTTAGCAGCACCGTTTGTAGTTTGAGGTGCGTTTGGTGGGCTTCCATTGCTTGTTGCGGCTGGAGGTGGTTTAGATGCCGGATCCGAAGCTGGAATGGATTCTTTAGGTTCCGGTTTTGTACTAGGTACCGTGGGTATTGGGGGCTTTGATGTCTCGTCAACGGATGGAGGAGTGGGCTTCGAAGTGGCCGCAGGAGGATCGACACTTGTAGGTACAGGAGCTGGCGGAGGCTTCTGGTCAGCGGTTTCTTTAGATGGGGGTGTGGTTGAAGTTTTAGGCGCTGGATCTTTAGAAGGTTCAACGGCGGGGTTCGTGATAGTGGTAGGCTATCAAATCGTGAGTGAGTATTCTTGATCAAGTGCAATATGAACTCACCTTAGAAGGTGTGGCATTTGTTGGGGTCGGAGTCGCATCTTCTTTTTTGTCTCCTGGGGCAGGTTTTATGTCTTCTGTGGGGTTTGTGTCTTCTGCGGGCTTTTTGTCTCCTGTAGGTTTTGCATCTTCTACGGGCTTTTTGTCATCTATGGGTTTTTTGTCTCCTGCAGGTTTGGCGTCTTCGGCAGGCTTCTTGTCTTCTGCGGGCTTCTTGTCGTCTGCAGGTTTTGTGTCTTCTGCGGTAGGTTTTTTGTCTCCTGATGAATCCCCATCTGCACTCGCCTTATTTCCAGCTCCACCTTTCGAGTTGTCTTCTGCATCCGGTTTCCCTCCCGCATCTGGCTTTCCCTTTGCTCCATCTTGTCTCTTCCCAATTGTCAAGTTCATTAAATCCAAATCTGCTACCCCGCTTCCCATTACTAGCCCCTCGATTTGGCTACGACGAAAAAGAACACTGAGTCTCATGGTTAATTGAACGCACAAGGAAGACTTTGTTGAAAGCGAAAAAAAGGGTATATGGGGACAGAAGTTTTGAAGAATGAGGGCCTGCTCAAAAAATAGAAACAACAGAAAAGAATGAAGGGCACAGCCCAATTGAAAAAGTTGGTGTTCAGAAGTAAGGAATGAACTTCTCGACAACGAAGGAAAAAAGAGAAGGAAAAGAGCGAAGCAGAGGACTCATTATGTTAAAGGTGCCTGTTGATCATCCCTACCTAGCGCCGAGTTTACCTATCCCATGGGTTGAAACCAGTTACCGAGCACAAGAACCACAAGAACCCATCCGCTGCCATCCGATGCGCTGGGGGCGGAGATGCATGGGTCCGTATCAGGCCCAGACTTGAATCGTTCGCTCCCGTACTGTATGCAAAAGAACAGCCTTGAAACCCCGAATTCCAGCCACTGAGTTTGGGGAAATAACCGTGAGAGGGCTGAAAATGGCAATGAAGCCATATGGTTGGTTCGTTAGCGTGCCTTGCGACAGTTCAGGGGTAACGAACCCGTTTGATCGACCGGCAAGGCTGGTGTGGGCTGAGTGGTTGACATCATCCCATCTTTGGGAAGGACAACCACAAGAATTGGCTGAAAAGCAATCATGATTGAAGACGGGAGAGTTTGATGATTGAACCGATGAAGTGGTTGGCGAGGAATTGATTTGCGGTGAAGTTCGTCGTTTTACTTCCAGTACTCGCATGTTTCCCTTCTGCGGCAAAACCAGCCACACTCAGCCACACCATAGGTTCAGAACAATTTTCTTAAGAGTTTCTTCTTTTTCTGAAGATCTCTCCACTGGCCTGAAGGTGTTCCGGTAATTTGGAATTGCATAACTTTCCCAAATTTTCGTTGTTGTTTTCAATGTTGTTCAAAATTTGCATTGGGCCTAGCGGCCTATACGTCGTTGGCAGGGACCTCCTGACTGAGACCGCGACGAGAGCATTCAATGTCCTGAAATCCCGGAGCTTTATCCTGTTCTTTGCATTTTGTTGCAGATCGCTCGATTACGCCAACGTCGCGGATTCCATCTCCACACGCGAACGCCGATCCATTGATGCGAAGTTTGTGAACGGCTCGGAACAATTCTTCAGATGAGACAGCTCAACATGGAAATTTTCCGAGACCCAACTTTCCTATGGGTCTTTGCGGATACCCCGTATCTTGCCTCGTGTTCTCACGATTTCTATCGCGATAGCTGGTGGTAATCCAGATGAATCTCGATACATGGATACTAGTGGGAGTGAGATCCGTAAGGTTATAAACGAGGTTATTCTTACGGAGGTATGTATAGGTTCTTGGCGTAGGTGACGACGAGGTCATGTTTTAGAGAAATAATAGGTAAGAATCTACAGTATAGCATAGTGTTTACTAGTACTTGTATTATGTTACTAGTTTATGTAAAATTCCGTAATTCTTGTTACTAAGAACTACCTAGCTCTATACTTAAAAATATAACGAATGTACTTGAAATCTCTTATAAGTACTAAACCAGTGCTTCTAGGTATATAAACCAAAGTATTTTGGGTATATAAAGAGTCTTGGGCCTAGAAAACCAAGGATATCCTTTGCACTTTACCTAAAAAGATTTGGACCCCAAATTCAAGGATACATCAGAGGTTTATCTATATCAAAAAATAATCAAACAGCTTCCATCTGACTGTTGTTTCAAAGATAGACTTCTTGTGAAACAAACAGAAACAGGGCAAGATGAAGTGCATTCAAAAATTCTTAATTGAAACTTTCCGTCAATCTAGAAGCGCGGACACAGACTCTGATTCACGTTTCTGAAAGGAATACTGAGTCACGTTTAAAAGTTAAAAGTAACGCTTATTTGTACAAAAAACCTGTTCAGGAAATTCCTTTGCTAACAGGAAGATGTGTAGAACATTTGTAATGCAGTATTTGGTTAGACTCATTTTCTTGAATAGTTCATACAACCTGTTTGACGATGGCGAAGCTTTCCTGCACAATTTGAGGGCTTTCTCAGGTGGCCGCTTGCTGCGCACGTGATCTTTGATTTGTGTCAAAGAGCCTGAATATCCCAGGGATATTTCCTAATATTCTCGCTTTGGCCGAAGCAGCTGTAATTAGCGATGGCTCTAATGCATCATCTGGTTGAGCCCTTCACTTGTGGGGTGGTGTAATTGTACCGTAAATCCTGGAGCGAAGTGATATAATCTACACTGTGGAGATGGCGAGAGAAAGCAAAAGAAGGCATGTGCCATGGTACATATGCCAAAATCCATAATGCTTGCACGTCGCTCGTACCTCATAGTTCTCCCCAATATCATCTTACTCGACATCTTACTTCACATTTGTGGGCTCAACTGACTTGACGTACTCGATACCCAAAGGATCAAGCCCTTTTCTGGCAAACATACAACCCAGTGTTAACGCACACTGAACCAAGATATACTGTTACGCTTTCGAAGGATCAAAACTTTGGTTTATACCTAGTCAACGAAGACATGTATGTATTTTCCTTCGCAGAGCTCAAAGCGATGCCTGCGCCCGCACTAGTCACTGGCAGTTACTTCTTGTCTGTCGACAGATCTTTATATGCCACGAGACATATTTAGCCAAGAAACTGTTACCTTTCTCCATTCTGTGTTGGATTACTTTAATGGCTACATTAGCAACTTCACGAAAGCACACGTTTAGCACCCAAAAAGTGTCGAGCTGACCAATGATCACGACATTGAGTCCGTGGATATACTTCTCCATTACCCGAATTTCAAATCAATGAATCATGCTCTTTTGCACCTAATTGGGAGGGCAATGGAAGCCACAAATGTGGGAAAGGAAATGAGTAGGAGGGATTGACCAAGGATAAGATTTTGGCTATGCCATTCCACGGCTCTTCCGATGCAGCAGTTTATTTGAGCATCATGGGATTTCAAATTGAGTCGACGAACATTATCTTTATGTTCGAGCGCAGCATCGAGCGGTGTCGAAGGGCTGGGGGTGGCATAGAATGCGACTACGACAGAGATACCAAGGTACGTTGCACGCAACTATATCTTGTTGCAAATAGATTTTGTCCGATAACTAGGTTTCAGCGTTGCTACCTCAATTTAAATACTGGAGATGGTGTGATCATCGTTGGTTCAGACCATGACAATGAAGATGGATTTCGTCGAATCGTGTGAGATAAATAGGGAGAGAGGTCTCTTAGGCACGAGCGTGGAAAGAATCTAGGGAAAGAGAATGACTTGAGCATTTTGATGGCAGTTATCTGTTGTAGGCGGAGATTGGGGAGCGATCTTGCTATATGAGAGCCCCAGTTATAACAGGCTAATTAAGTCTGTCGACAGACGATGGATGAAATGAGAAATTGATCGGATGGCTTATAGAGTACTCTTTCTACCTCGGTTGGTATTGCTTCGAGGAAGTGTAGCGTACAGAGCGTGAAACGAGGGGGCGTACTACAACATAACAACTTTTCTTTTGTCATAACCAGAAGCCTAGCTGCTTCCAACAACCCAAGAACTGTAATGACCATAACCCCCTTCTCAAACATGTATTTAGTACAGCTTTACTCATCTGTTGGAGGGAAACCCCCAGCCGTGCTACTATATTCTCAGACTCACACAGCACGTTAAAAGGAATAATAATAATAATAATAATAATCGAGAGTGACATCTGTAGGTAAATTCCCAACTAGGACTTTTGAATATCGACCCAGCGCTAGCTTTGTGAGGTTGTAGAGACCCCCTGCCATAGCTTCTGCCAAAGTAGGATCGTGTTGTCCGAACCTCACTGCCATCTTCGCATAGGTTTCACTTTCTTAACTCTTCAATATTAGTGAAGTTTCCTACCCAGATCCACTATCGCTTCGTACTAGTTAACAAACCTCAAGTGCTCGAATAAGTATCGTAAGTGTGTCTGTATGATATTCGCAATCTCGCCGATTAGTGAGGTCTTACGCCTGATTATTATTCCCATAAACAAAGAATATTGACCTAAATAGAAGCAGTCGACATAGCTCTTTATTCATCAATTGCCGGCATTCATATCCGCTCGTTAAATGTCTTGGCATTGTGTATGTTCTATTGTGTTTTCCGTGTCACTCATGGCGGATAAGGCTGTACGCATCTGAGTTAGGAAGGTTCAAGGCATATTATGGGGGAACATGAGAGGGGAAACATTATCTAGCAGCAGTAGGATAGTAGTAAGAGCATCTATTGTAAAATAAACGTAAGAATACAAGAAAAATACGAGGGAATACGGGAAAATGCCAATGAATTAAATGCCAAAGACAGAGATTTCTGATTATTTGCATTGAAGTCATAGACTTTGCGTATCAGAGGTATGTATTGTGCAGCTTTGCCTGTCCATTGCGAGGCTCTTACCAGCTGTATAGCGACTAATATTTCATGCTTCCCTTGTCTCCTTACTGAACTACATACCATCTTCACGGGAGCGCATCCCAAAACTTTAGTACGATAATTACTGCTACAGATGGTTGTGTGTGAAAGAAAGCTCTCCTGATTGTTGAACTTACAATCCGAAATCCATATTGAGTCCTCTTTTAATCCAATTAACATAAATACGAAGATGTTTGTAGTACATGATCAAACATTCAAGTAACCACTTACAGCCCGGGCCCATCAAGAGAGTGATGAGCATATACTCGACGTATACTAGAAAGTTTTGTTTTTACCTTCAGTCGCGCGTTTGACCTTCAAGTGTTTACAGCTAATTGTAGATCCTACGGTTCTCCTTTCCTAAGTAGGGATTGCAACGTCGCCCTTGGCAAGCAGCAGGCATCATCTCTTCGAAATTGTGAATTAATATTTATTGTGTGCAGTTGGTATTATCATTTACTATTATTACACTCTCCCTACAAGGTACAAAAGGCTTAGAGCCCCAGATTGTGGTTGAAAAGGTCGTGCATGAACTACTTGCACTGTGACTCCTGAGATACCCTGGCTCTCTCCCCAGCCAGCTTCCCCAATGATCGTATTCACGAGGCCCATTTCATCAATCTGTAAATCAGCGAAAATGATGTTCCAATCTCTCATTGAAAGTCAACTCCATCTTTTCGGGCCATGGGTGGTTGAACTTTACATAATTGCTACCCAAGCATTCAGCAACAACCGATGCTGTATGCTCAGACCCACAAGTATCTACCTCGACGCAACAGCCGGCAGACAGACGCCCAGTAAAGTACTCCAGGAATCTCTTGATCCAGAGCGACCACATTTGCGTCTTCTCATCAGATGATTTTGTCTCAAGAAGCTTGCCGTCCTCCAAGAACAACCAACTGTACTTGTCCTCCAGGTTACCACGATCCAAGACCATTTGAAGTTTTTTCAGTTTGGAAATCATTGGTGACCAAATCGCGTCTTTCGGGAGTGTTCTTGGTGCGTATGTATTTCTAATGTTGCTTGGGGGCGCTGTGGCGAAAATGCAGACGCTTCGTATGCTTCGTCTATTATCCTTAGAAAGCCTCGCCAGACAAGCCTCCCCACCGTGTCCAAACCAATCGATCTCAAACAAATTCTGACCATAAAGAATAGGAAGCACCTCTCTGCTGATCTGCTTTGAGACGCAAAAGATGTTTTGAGTCTTCAATGCCTTTCTCTCTTCTTGTAATATTGTTGCGACGATCCTTTTGTCCTTTGGCTTCTTCGTGAAGTCTTCGTACTGAACCTTGAATAGCTCGCTGACACCCCCTCTTGGCTCCATGGTTTTGCTTCGTGGAATCGGTACATATTCGTAGATCATTTGGCGGACTTCCAAGGGCAGATCGAAGAAGCAAAATATTCTTTTTGGGCCGCGACTTTCGTCATCGCCGATGAATTTGACCGTGGTTTCTGCAGACGCGTCGCTCGATGTCAAAAGTTCGCTTTTGTTGGTGATCGCTAGAGCTTGTTTGCTTAACTCGATATAAGCCTGCGCGATAGCAATAGGAAGTCTAGCTTTAAGAATGAGGGCGGACATGTTGTCTCCATCGGGTGGCTCTGTGGTTGGTTCGGAAGCCTTCATGCTTGTTATATGGTTGTGGGTATCAGAAACTTGATGCACGTTGGGAGTGTGGGAGTAGCCAGATGCTTGAATGAAGGAAGTGCAAATACTTGCAGGTGTTGCTTTAGCAGATGAGTGATTCATGAAGCAAAACAGTGCCGATGCAGTATACGAGGTTGATCGGTAGGTAAGACTTGAAGTGTGCAGGAGCCAACACGGACAACAGACGATTCACCCAGTCCAACTGAAGTTTTATTACTCCGATACCAATTTGCCGACAAAATGCTGATAACACTGTTTGCAGAAACTCTGGAAGGGCTGCCGCAATTTCACGAAGTCGTCATGCCTACCAGTGCCGGATATTATCTTTAGCGAGCTTTGATATTGGGACTGCGACAAAGTTTCGATTGCACGGCTACCCACCAACCCTGCAATAATAGAGATGGATATGCAAGTAAATTGTTCCAAGTATCAATTTCCCCAAGTTGGGGAAGTTCACCGACTGTCTTGCTCTCTTGGTGTCAAGTGTTGTCATCAAGTTCCATACAAGGGTGGCTGGCAGTTTATGAGAGTGTCGCTGATATAGGACGCGTCAAGAACTAATTTCGGGTAATCTCCGTACACCTAGACTTGCATACAATTTGGAGAGGAACGGGCAGTGAATGGCAACATTGCGCGGATTTAGATTATCCAAACTCACGTGAAAATGCTCAAACCCAAAACTCACGTGAGTTTTGTTTTGCTCCATCCCGAATTTCCCAAAGTTTTGTAAAGCACGGACCATTAACCCCCTCTATATGTATTCCTCCTGTCCCGCAGGTTTCCTTCCTTCTTCCAAGCATCCATCATCTAACACACACTTCGCTCTTCTCAACCGTTCCAAGGTTCGTCCACCTCCAACCCCCTCCTCCAAACCTCTCATCAAGCTAACCTATCCTTCCAGCAATCCAGCAAGTTGTTTCCACTGTCCTCAACTACCATTGTTCGCGGGAACGATACACTTCACAGGTGAGACCATTTCTTTGCTTTTCAACACCTCGTGGGTGGACAGGACACCCGCCTCCCTTCGGGGATGGAACTGATAGACTCGTGAGAGGGCCCCTCACGCGTTTGGAAGGTTGAGGAACTGCCAAGTGCAGGGCAACAGTCTCGTCTATCACATTGCACCAGGTGATATGACGCTTTACCTCACGCGCGATCCAATCTAGCGCGGTCCTTTCCCGAAACCATGAAGTTCCCATGACCACATCACCGAGATGTCGAAAGGCAATCTCGGCGTGAAAGGCCATGCGATCCGGGCTAGGCTAACTGAGGGGGATTGACAAGAAGGTAATTCGCGAGGATTACCTCGACTGGATGTTGTTTGATTTACATAGTTTATGACTCTCACATCTTAGACTCTCCGGAGTGTTTGCTGAGAGGATGGTTGTCTCACAGGTTTTTTTTACGGTCATCACCGTCCTCGACTGCGAGAATTGACGAACTAAAAGTTGTAAGTAGCAGACTTCCAGAGCTTTTGACACAGCTAACACTTTACAATACAGGTTTGTGCATCGCATTGGGGGGTTTTGGGTAAGTTTCATTGGATTCTTGAGGGATTTTTGTGTGGGGATTAGAGTTTCCTGAATCATATTTTGGGTGGCTGGTTCTCGCTGTATTTTAAAAATGAAAGTCATTCACTGTTGCTTTATCTGTTGTTGACGCGCTCATCTGTCGTTACGAAAGTCGCGTAATTTAGCGACTCGTGATTAGCACCAAGCCACCTCCCCACCAAAATACCGTATTTCTCCCGATATCTCAAGCCCCGCGCGCTGGCGTGCTAGCTACTGTATGTTCTCTGTCCGTTAACGAGATTGAGTCGAAATTTGAAGAGAGATTGAAGTGTCACAGCAGCACACGGAATTTTCAGTCTCAGGATTTTTTATTGGTGAATTACGTCATCTGTAATTGTATGCTATTTTCATGACAAGTGCTGGAAACCCAACAGCAATGAAATCTATGAACCACCATGCTTCCCAGACAAACCCGCAACCTTCGACTCTCTGACTTCCAGATACGACGGATGGGTATTTGTTTCGCTCTTCCTATTGATACATCATCCTGGCCACCTCACTTTCGCTGCCAACTTGAGAAATTCGCTGTACTTTACATCTTCCCATAATTATACCACCCCCAATGACAGACGTCGATGTTTAGAAATCATCCAATGTCGTATCTCGTTCCTCATAATGTCCTCCCACTTGACTCCGCATTTCCAATTATTCCCTTCAAGTCCATCTTCCCAGCATATGTTTCCCCGAAGATGCGACAGTGAAAGCAATCCATCCACCAATCACCGGTCGATAATCCAACATGCATATGCTCCCTTACTTCGAGTTGCGGTTTTCCCACGAACCCGTCATACCAGCGATGATACCGAGAAGGACAATGCCGATGAGGATGATGATCATTGGAAATGGGATCTGAGGGTTGGCCATGGGGTCTTTTGACAGCTCGGGATGCGAGATTCCTGGGTGCGCATCGTTCTGTGTTGCTTGACCTATTTCGTCTCGTGATGATAGGTAGTTTCCGAGATTGATGGCCTCCCTCGAGACGATATCGAGGACTTTGGGGAGTGGAGACATTATTTGTGGGTTGTGGAGGATGTGCGTAGTAGGTAGTGGTGGGGATTGGCAGACCCCTGTGTCGAGCAAATGCGACTGGCAGGAGCGAGGAGAGTGAGGATGTTGCTCTGAATGATAGACAACTTTCAACTCGGCGAGGAATGAAGACTTTTCGCAAACGATGGGGATACAGACGGTATGTATGGGGTGTACGAAGTTGAAGGTGATGCAGGCAAAAACCTGCCAGGCAAGAGTTGGTGGGTGGGATCGACTTAAAAAGGGGACGTTGAAAAGTTGGGGAGGTCTCTACGGAACGCCGGAGCTAAAAATAAAGAAAACACGACACGCTTACTCCCCTGAGCCAATCAAGGCTCTCGCTTAAATCTGACGCGAACCGGGCAACTACCAACCCAGGCCGCAAAACATGAGCCTGGAACCAACCCAACATGTTCCTGGTTGGTTTTTATATCATTTTTGATGGGACTAGTGAAGGATTCCAGGCTCAGTGTTGGCACATTCCCACTTTTACGTATATCCCCGCATTTTATCGGCTCTGCTGGGCATCGGAATCGTAAGTTGCTGGAGTTACACCGGGTCCAAAACATGCAGCTTGAATACGAGCCACAACCCCGCCACCCCGCGCCACACGACAACAGCCAACACGATTGTCCCAAACCAGGTCTTCACTACGCGTATATTACACTCTTACATACAGGGCCTGTACGGCAGAGCAAATCGGACGTCAATCCGTACGGACATCATTTTTCAATTGGGTGAATCTGCTGCAGGGCTGTGCTGCAACTACAGAGGGGATTCACAGCGGATTCGCACATTTCATTACCCATTGGGTCGACTCGGAAAATTCAGATGGGACCTGCATGTGCTGACGTCACCATGGTTGTTTCATTTCCCACATTGCCAACTTGAGAGTTGATGTTGGTTTTCATCATTCAGTATTTTACGTCCAACATTTATGAGTATTAATTGACGTTCAATCCACTTGAGTTCTCCACAAATTCTACAAAAATACAGTTTCGTGATATCTGAAAGAAGCGAAAATCGATACTATTTCCAACTTGTAACGCCGTTCACCATCTATTCAAAGCCAACCATTCCCTATAAATAAATTATAATTGTCGGTCTCCTCAGGAAGATGCTTGGTAACACTCATAAATTGTTCACCGTGATTTTGATGTTGACGCAGGAAATGGCATGACATTTGAATGGAAATGAGGAAACAATGGTAAAACAACAACGTATTGCAATAAAATATATTCTCGATTTCTCAGGGAATCTTTGTTGGGCCATAGGCAAATATCAACGAGACATCGGTCGTGATTTCAAGCTTTTTGAGTTTACGCCGAGCCCCCTACAAGCTTTCGACCAAGGTTTCGCTTAATGACAGACGTACCTGCCAGTCGTACTAACAAGAAATGGCGCAAATAGCAATTGCTGATAGTGAATTCTACGAAGGATTCCAAACCCGATACGTTTGGAGTGAGTGTGCAAATCATTGTTGTAAGAATTCCTGCTAACTGTGCTGTGGAGCTTGGATTTGGTGGTCACTAACCGCACAATCAAAAACTTTGAACGGACATTCGAAAATCTCCTCAAGGGGGTTGACATCAATTCTAGCACTAATAAAGAGTATCCCGGGTCCCTTATACTCCTGTGATATGCTCCAGGAACGTTCCAGAAATATGGACCATTTAATGCCCTCAAATACGAAGGAATAAACTTGAGAAGCCAAATAAATTACTATATAAAAGTATGCTTCGTCCCTCTGGGAACCGTGTTAGGAGATTCCTGACACTCCCGCGCGGAACGGCCTGGGGTACAAAACCTTCCCCAACGCTCACTTTTACTGATACCAACGGTAGCCGTCAAACCTTATTTCGTACTAAAGATGCACTTCTTTATTTACTTATCTACGCGTTTACTTGTTTACTTGTAAATAGTTAGGGAAGGTGGAGACAGAGGGGAGGGGAGGCGGGGGGGGGGGAATAGGGG